AGTACTGCCCCTGATCTCCACGCAACATTGTAGAGGCGTGTCAACCAGTATAGCCCTACAATGTCCAGAGCCTTCAGGAACTCAGGGCGGACCTCATCCACACAAGGGGCTCTGCCACCAAGGAGTTGTTTAACTGCCTCAGTGACCTCGCCCCCAGAAATTGGCGGGTCATCCCCGTCATTCCCAGACCCTGCTTCCTCCTCGGAAGACGTGTCAATGGGATCAAGGAGGTCTTCGAAGTATTCCTTCCACCGCCCGACAAATACTTTTCATGTTTAAATTTAAAAAATCTGGTAGACATTAACTCGGTATATGGGCTGGTTCATATTCAATGCTTTTTTTAATCTACTCTTCCTGAGCACTCAAAGCGCTTTATTCAACACGTTCACACATATCCACATCCACCTTTTTCTATGTCTAAGTGCTTTCTATCTAACATTAACACTGATGGATGCAGGAGCAACTCGGTGTTCAGGATCTTGCCCAAGGCCTCCTTGACATGCAGACCGGAGCAGCCAGGAGTCGAACCTTCTATGCCTTAACTTATTGTTGTAAATAAAATATTACAACTAATCTGGATTCAGGAGCCGAGTTCATGCCAGGTGTCCCTTCCAGTTATGAGCAGTGTTAAAGTTTACTCAAAGTAAAAGCAAATATTGATGTTTGCAAAGATTTAAATGAATTTTCAGTGAAAGAAGAGGCGGGATCTGTATATATTTGTTGATACTTTTGTTGTGTGAACAAGTCTGAAGCAATGATTTTACGACAGCTTGTTTTCTACCTCTGAACTCGTTCACTGCAGTGTCGTCTTGGGGATGTCTCACATTTTTATCATCCAACACAAAAATCCCATTCAAGCTGGGGCTGCGGTCGAATGCTCAGTTTGAATCTGCTCATCATCAAGCTGATGCCTTGATTTAACATTTACAATAATTCAGTTTGCGTTTTTACATTCAGGTATAAGATACTTTATTATAGGTGTTTTGTTTGTCTCTGAGCGGAATGAAATAACACAATAAGAACATGTTGTATTCAGTCTTCTGACTGCAATACATCTAGAAACTCTAGAAATGCTGTGAAAATATTCTGCTATCAAACTGGTGGAAATGTAGAAACGGGTTCCCAAAAGGCACCGAAAGTAGAACTGGGTCTAAACTGGTGCTGCACCGGTGAAAGACAGGTTTTAAAGTCTGTTAATATTTTGCTTTTTGCTGTATTTCTTGTACATTTGCAGTAAAATGTTTGAAGTTTCTCATTTTGTTGAGTCATTGTTTTACGGCACACTGTAGGAACCCAGTACTGACATTTCTCCACATTCAGATTTCAAGTTTGAAAAAGCGATTTCAACAAACTAGTGTTAGGAGGTTGAGGCTCCAACAACACGCGTTATTAAAACTCCTGGATTTGGCCTCTAGATGTCATCAGATTAAAAACAACCAATGTTGGAATCCTGTTTATGATTGAGGGCCACAGGTAAAATGCACGCAGGGGCAACATTGTATTTATAAAGTGTGAGTATGATGTGTATAAGTTCTTTTCATTTAAAAAAAAAAAAAAAAAGTTTTCCTTTTAATTACTTTGCAGTATGAACGGAGGGAGGTTTTAATCTGTAGGAAAAGCTGTAAAACTGAAAATACAAAAGTCCAAAACCTCTTGTGGTGAGCAGCAGATCAAGTAGGTTCATTGTAAATGGCTTCAAGTGCACATTCAGGCCTGTACGACTCATTTAGACATTGAGCCAAAGCTCTGTAAACATGATCTGTGTACCTGGCCTGTATCAATACATTCATTGTCTTCGGTCAGCCACCCACCCTTCTTTCCAGTAATGGTATGATCTGAGCTTTTGCGAAAAGTGTGCCAATCAAAATAAAATCCTGCTTGCATGGATTTTCAACAGGGCTGAAGATTTTGCTCCCACATACTGACAGGTTATTAATAATTGACATATCGTTTGAAAAGCTTAATAGTGCTCCGCTGGTCTCCAACGTGCCCTCTGAGAAGGAAATCAAAGACCACAACCTGCAACAGTAGTGACAGTAAACAAATTTTATTTTGTCATCTGCATTTACAGCTGGAATTCTGGGAATTCAAACACGACGTCTTTGCCTGTGAGCTTCTTGTAGACACCAGAGAAGGTCTCCACCTGAATCAGGAAAGAATAAAATCAACGTTAGTTTAACTTAACCCGCCTCTTATTTACCATCACCACTTTTTCTTTACATGATATAAAAAAAACAAAAACAAAACAACAACTAAGGTTGCAGGACAAACTCCTGTCTGCAGCTGAAGGACTTAAACAGGTCTATTTTTTATGCCAGTATGTTGTACTTAATACAACCCTTGGATTTTGGATTGAACTTTGATCTGTGCATAAAACTCAAAGTAAAGGACAAGTTAAGCCATAAATTCAACTTCTGTTTATGATCAGTCTGTGCACTGCATGGTTTAGCTCCCCAGTAATGGCCCCAAAGGACTCTGGGAAGATGTAGGAATATGCAGGACGCTCGTCCTCACCGGCCAGCAGCCGGGGACAGAGCTTTCTCTCCAACGTTGTGGAACGGGACTGTACGTCTCAGCTCAGAGCTACGCTCCCATACGCCACCAGGACAGAGCCAGGAGAGCAACTCTCTGGATGTCCACGTCGGAACAACAAGGTTTCAGACTTAAAACATCTCCAGAAATTTAACCGAAGGACACGTGCTCCGTCTTATCCTTGTAATAAATCCCGTTTTTGGGAGGTGTTTGGTGTGACAACGTGACTTTTTCCCCACACCAAACAATCCTTCCACTGATTAATACGTTAAAGACTGACACTTGAAAGCATCATTATTCGTGTTTCCTGAACATGCAGACGCCTCCGCTGCTTTAAAACTCACTTTGTGTTCGACATTGTTCTGCTGAGCCTTGTCCAGGTGGACCTTGATGAGCCTGCTGCTGTCCAGTTTCACTCTGATCCTCTTACCCACGATCTCACTGGGGAACACCAAGTCCTCCAAGATGGCGTCATGGACCGCGGTCAGAGTGCGGCTGTAGAATTGGGGGGAAAGAAAAAAGGTCATTAATGCTTCATTTCCAACTCAGTTTAGTTTCAGTGTGTGTCCACAGCGAGTTTCTGTGCTTCAGTTCAGTTTGGTTCTTATTGGTTGAAAACTTTAGCTTCTACTTGAGCTTTTATTACTTCTCTACCCTGGTGGGGTATTTATCGTGGGCAGAAACACTTAATCATGCCGACATCCTGCTCGTGTTAATAACTTCGAGCAATACTAACACAAGACATTTCTTCCTCCTAAAGTCTGGTTTTTATTTTATTTCATTAAAGTAAAACATTTTTCTCGATAACAGTTTTATGTTACAGCAATAATCTTGGGAGTGAGGCCCTGAAGGTCAACACCTGAGGCTTGGTGTTGATTACAAAGCTTGTCTCCCAAGGGCAGCCATGGGTCCCTGCAGGCCTGCCTCCCTCCACTGCACGACAACCACAGGCCGATCAACAGGATGCCAGCCTAGACAGCCGCCACCTCAAGCAGACTGGAGGGGTGGCAGACTATGACTTACAGAAGCAACGGGCACCGCTATAGTACCCTAATGAGTTTCACTTCCTCTAAATAAATCTCACTGAGAGTTTTAGTCAGCCTGGTCCGAGCTGAACTTCGGATTACTGTGTTTTACCAAACTGTTGGAAGATTTAGCTCGGATAAACCGGGGACCAATAATCACATCAGTAAAGTTTTCCTTCCAAAGCACCTTCAGCGCCCTTTCAAACATCCAACTTTCAGCACAAACCGGGACTCTCTTCACAGAAAATAAAAACATTCAGTCACACCTTCTTTGGTTTCTATTAATGATCAGTCTGTGCACTGCATGGTTTAGCTCCCCAGTAATGGCCCCAAAGGACTCTGGGAAGATGTAGGAATATGCAGGACGCTCGTCCTCACC